AACAGGCCAACATCCCTCATAAACACAAAAACCCTTGACCACATTCCAGCAAACTGAATCCAGCAACATATGAAAAGGATAATACACCATGACCAAGTAGGTTTATCCCAAGAATGCAAAGTTAGTTTAACATATAAAAAAAAAAAAAGCAGAGCAATTTACTGTACTAACAAGATAAAGGAGGACACCATATGATCATTTCAATAGATGAAGAAAAAGCATTTGACAAAATTCGACACTCATTTGTGAGAAAAAACTCTTGGCAAGTTAGGAATAGAAGGAAACTTTCTCAACCTAATAAAGAACATTTTTGAAAAACCTACAATAGTGAAGGATTAAGCGCTTTCCCCCTGTGATTGGGAACAAGACCAAAGTATTCACTCACCACTTCTACTCATCATTGCACTGGCAGTCCTGACCAGTACAAGGTAAGAAAAGAGAAATAAAATGCATGAAAATTGTACAGGAAGAAGTAAAACTCTCTTTATTCACAGATGGCATGTCTGCATAGAGGGAACATGTTAAGTAATCTCCAAAAGCTGCTAGTAAGTGAGTTTAGCAAGGTTATATTATTCAAGGTCAATATAAAAAAATCAATTGTACAAATATTGCTATATACTGGTAACAAACAATTGGAAATTGAAATAAAAAACACCATTTACAATAACATTGAAATCATGAAATACTTAGGGATACATTTAACAAAAGTTGTGCAATACCTGTTTACTGAAGAGTATAAATTAAAATTTGAAATTAAATAAGACCTAAGTAAATGGAAAGATATAGTAAATTCATGGATTGAAAGATTAAATATTGCTGTCATGCCTCCCGAAATCAATCTACAGACTCAGTGCAATCTGTAGATTGCACTGCAAGATTATTTTACACTAGCAACATACACTTGTATATAAATTGACTTAATTCTTTGTAATAACTACATATTTTCCCTAATATGAATGAGTCACAGCTAGTTTCTCTAATCAGCCCATCAAAAGTGGTCTGGTTAAGTAAATATTTTTTGTTAGTAGACCTGTCTGAGGACTCATATATGTAAAACTGCTTTACTCTATTCTAAATCATGGGATCTAGGTAGTATCACTGGACTATAGAGCATTCTTATACATAATAGTCCAGGTGCTAGTGCTAAAATAGCTATGTAGTGGTCTTTTTATGGGGCTATGTTACCTTTGGGCTTTCCCTATGGTAGAGATACCTGGGCCAATCATACACACAGGCTCCATTCCTCTCGGCTTTCCCAGCTGGGCTCACAACTCCTCTTCCAGCTGGGACTGCCTCCTTATTCCACACTTGGCTGGCCAACCTGACTCCCCAGTTCCTGGGCTGAGACTAACTCCCTCATCACTGGCTTTATGGCATCACTGGTTTTGTATCTTATGAGGGCTATGCTTGAAGTCCTACCCTTAATCACTTCTAATATTTGTGCTGGGCTTGCCTTCCCAACTGCCTTCTCTGCATTGGTAATCTAGTGTTTTTCTATGGATACACCTGTTTCCTATAGCTGGGATACCTGGTATTTCTTGCAAAGGAAAGGAAGTTGCTACTGGGGTTGAATTGTGTTCCCAGAGAAAGGCTAAATTATGCTTCCAGTTCTTCCATCTTAAAAACAGAAGTTTAGGGCTGGTCCGGTGGCGCACTGGATAAGTGCGCCGCTTGGGAAGCGCGGCGGCGCTCCCGCTCGAGGGTTCCGATCCCACATACAGACCGGTTCCCGCTCACTGGCTGAGCGAGGCGCGGGGGCAACACCGAGGGGTGCGATTCCGTTGCCGGTCCCAGTCTGGTACGGGGGCAACACTGAGGGTTGCGATCCGTTGCCGGACACGGAAAAAGACAAAAGACAAAAAAAAAAAAACAAAAAAACAAAAACCAGAAGTTTACCATTGTGAATGTTGAGACACTTATTGTTCAAACGCTCATTTATTCACTGAATAAACACAATGAGGTGGGTGCTTAACGTTCTGCTAAGCACTGAGGGGGAATGCTGACAACCCAAACACAGATGCACAAATGCATGGTACAGACTGTAAGTGCTGTGGGAATATACTTGAACCCCTTAACAGGTCTGCCTTTCTCCTCTCTCCCCTTTAAAATCTATCTTCCGTGCTGTACCAAGTAAGCTTTCTAAAAACCAAAGCTCATCTGTTTTTGTAGGAAAAAAGAGTAAACTCCTTAGTGCAGCATTCAAGACTTTTCGTAATCTGGCCCCAATTTCCGTTCAAGCCTTAATCCTTCCTCATCTCGTTCATACTCGCATACCCTATCTTCTACATATAGCACACTTCTCAGTCACCCTTTCCAATCTCTGTTGCCTCTGCCTAGAATGCCTTGCCATCTTCTTCACTTAGCAGACTCTCAATCAACCTCTAAAATTCAGTTCAAAGTCTTGTTGAAACATTTCCCCTATGCTCATCTGTCTTGGATTTGAGCACATTGTTGTTCTGTCACCTTCATTAGATGGTGAGATTTTTGAGGGCACTGGATTTATCTTGTTAGTGTTTGTATATCTGAATCCAGGTCTGAATAGGGCCTTGCAAGTAATAGGGGCCCAATTAATATTTGTTAGATGAATGAAGGAATAAAAAGAATGTGAAGAAAGAGCTCAAAGGGGGTGGGTATATTTAGGTAAGAGTTTTTGAAAGGCACAGGGCTTGAAGCTGGACTTAGGAAGACAGTAGAGAAGTGGGGACAGGGCATTTGAAGGAGGAGAATTATTATCCTAGGAGATTGAAGAACAAAAGCCCAAGACTGAGAGTGGAGAGAGTGAGGTCAGCCAGGCTGCAGCGACTGCTGCAATATCTTGACCTTTTCACCTACTAGATTTCTCAATTATATTTTCAGCTCCTGGAGGGCAGGGCATTTTATGCACTCCTTTGTATCTCCTTTATATTTGTTGCACATCTCCACAGTCACTGTCCCTACTGTCTTATTCTGCTCTGCATTATAACTATCTGTGCATTTGCATATCTCCCCAGCTGCTTGAGGTAGGGGATGAGGTCTTATTGTCTTTGCATCTTCTAAGACACCTAGCATTGGGCCTGGCACACAGTGGGTGCTCAGCAAATATATTTTTTGATCTACCATTTGTTGATCTGATTTCAGGGGACCACAAAGATATTTCTGTGCAACTGTGTACTGTGACATGAAACTTATATATATGCCTTCAAAGTGTGTAGTCTATTTTTGGCAATTTTTATTAAAATGTTATCCTATTGTACCTGGAAGACTGTCATTTCAGTTTTCTTCTTTGTTCCTTCTTGGATGACTCACATCTCTCATACCAGGAGGATATGACAGAAGGGATTCACAAAGGGTTTGGTCAAATTTATGAATGACATTGTCATAAATGTCTGAGTATAAGACGTGAGGAGCACGCAAAGGGGAAGGAGAGAACATGAATTTCAAAAGTGCCTATTAGGTGCCAGGAACTGTGGGTCAGGCACTTGACCAACACAATATACCTCATCTAATCTTGCAGAATATTTCGGTATGAAGACAGAACATCTCTACCTATAAGGCCTAGCCCACACCCACTCAGGCACATAGCTTCTCCAGGTATCAGAGGTGGTATTCATCTTTATTAACATTTTATCAATCTTTTAACACAGATGAATCTTTGGATTTGCTTTTGCTTCTTAGGAGCAGAACCATCACTCTCAATTTGGGCTTCTACAGCTTAAAACTTCTTTCTGACATAACTTGATCAGTTCTTAAAGTCCCAGTGCTTTAAATTACAATGCAATCTGAGATATTCCCACAGCAATAACAGCAACTACATTTGTTCACAGCACTTATCTTTCTATTTCATTAAACTTCCAAGTATTGAATAAAGGTAAGTCAACTCAAGAAAAAAGACTTTTATTAAAACCTGACACCAGCAAATTGTCTCAAATTATAGTGTGCCTTCTATTTGTATTCTAGACATACTGAATGGTTTTTCTTAGATATATATACCTCAACTGTGGTTAGAAGAAAATTGGAAGGAAATTAGTTTAAGTTGTTTCTAATTTTAAAAAAAATAATAGTAACTTTAGAAAGCATAATGCTCCTAAGTATACAGTTTCTACATCTGGCAGAAATCATAACATTACATATAACTAAAGCACCATCCTCAATCCTTGGGAAATAGCTTGAGAAGGTGGGGCTGCACATACTGGTTTGTCATTTTAAGTCATACTGTCTAGGGTCTGTAGCTACCCATCCTGATCTGTGATAACATGCTTCTTGCCAGGGGTGGGGGTGAGAGGGAATAGAAGGGGTACACCTTTGAATTAGGGATTATCAGCACATGCACAGGTCCCAGGCAGCTTTCTGTTAACTTGTTTCGGGAAAACCAGAATAGACATCTTTGCTTTGGAAAATATAAAGCCCATCTCGCATGACTAAAGAAAATGGCAAGGGCTCAAATGACATGTTTCACATTTTGGATAGTCCTGCTCCAACCTCCGTGTGCCACTAATTGCCAGAAAAACAACAGACCTGTCTTTGTAGTGATTATGTATTTTTAAAATTTTACATTAGTCAAAGAAAATTGAGAGACCATGTTCTTTGATGGTAATCCTGGTCTCTCAATTTTCTTTGACTAATGTAAAATTTACCTATATTACCTATAGGACTTTAAAAAAATAGATGAGAACCCAGCTTATACATTTAAAAAATAGCCCCTTCCTTTTTCAGGTTAGGGGATAAAAATATGCACATATTCCAAAGAGTTCTTTGTGTGAACAGGTGACCCCTTCCCACATTCTCTGTAATTAATTGAGGAATTAAAGTTGGTTGGCCTTTGAGATCTCTTGTTAAAAAAAAGGCAGAAGGTCTTGGATATTTTGGAACAAGAGTCCACTATTCTGCCAAGACAGTGTGTTATTGTTATTGAAGTGTCTCTCAACAAAACAGTATTGAGTGGTGAGGACGTGATTTTGATTAGGTGGAATGACTCAGCTCTTCCCCTTAAAGAAGAGAGGACTTGTCAGAGCCTTACTTACCTCATGATCTGGGATCTCAGAGGATAGTGTTTTCCCTAGGATGACCCCGGTCAAGTATGTCCAGCATCGAGCCGTGTTGGCAAGGTTATAGCCTCCTGTCTCCATCAAGAATTGTGAAGTTAGGAAAGAATAGTCACAAAACAGCAGGAGAGGGAAGGGGGGTAAGGAAGGAGAGAAAAATGTTTTAATAAAAGGGCTAAAAAGACAACTCCAAGGTACAGAATTTCACCTAAATATCCCTTTATGATATTTTAAAACCACCTAGTAAGCAGACTTTGATGGACTAGTGAGATCACACAGTGTAGAAGTCCAAGGTCTATAAAGATTAAAGAGGCTCTCACCTCCCAACAAACATGCACCCAAGGAATCCAAGGTACTCAATTCCATCAAGAGATAATGGCAAGAGTGAGATCTCTGAAACCCTGATCTCTTGAGGTGACCTACGCAGTGTGAAGCTTTCTGTGATGAATTTTGCAACAATTCTGTAAAATGAGCTGAATGTGATTTAAGAAAAGTGCTGACAGAAATAAACTTCCTCCTTTTAATATCAGCATTCCTTTTCACCACAAAACATAGGCCTGGTGGCAGAGATCAAAGAGAGTGAGAAGAGGAAGGGACTGTTGATAGACACTCTGACCCATCTTGTCAGGTCCTGTCACAGTCACCCAGCAGCCATATTATACTGGCTAATAATCAGCATTTTTTTTGTGTGCTGAATAGATGTGCTCTGCCACGCAAGCATTAGAACACTGGCCTTTAGCTAAATTCCAAGAGTGTACAGGGTAAAATGGAATGGTTTCCTAACCCCAGTGCAGCTTAAGGGAAATAGAATCTGATCTATTTTAGGTAGGGTGACCATATAAATTATTGTCCAAAATGGTATACTTTTAAGAGTAAAAGAGGACACTATTAATCATTGCACTGGGATAGCATATATAAACTGGGACATACGGTCACCCTTTTCTTAAGCTTTTCTACTATTTGAAAGGTCTGTGATGGTGAGGCTTCTAGAGTGTGTCTTTTAGGCCTCAATGGGGTCTACTGAAGCTTGGGAATGTGGCCATCTCTACTAATTTTCTATGTGTTAATAGGGGCTGACAATTTCAGTTTGATAGTACAGGTATTACTTAAATGCCTGACATGGACAAATCTGAATTTATAAGATAGACTTATTTGGCATGATTAATTTCAAAAACAGTTACTATAGGCTTTGCTTATGTAGAAAGCTGTCTCTGGTGCATACACAATATGATTTGATTTGCAAAAATTCCATTTATACACAAGCATTTTCAGGAATACACATATTGCGTAAGTAGAGTTACATATTCAAAAGTCAAAACTCTGGGCTGAGAAAGTAAAAAAGCTTTAGAGAATGCTAACAGGCTCTTTAAGTAAAGGCTGTAGCCTCAAACAGAGTCAAATTCTCACAGGTGTATGTTGTACAAAGGTCTTTTTTTCCCCGCAACTGTACCTGTATCATAATCACCATCCTTGGTACCCTTAGTACTTATCAATTTTATCTTTTTCTTGAGACGAAGTTAATATATCTCTTGCCAGCTTTTCATAAGAGGTTATCTCTTGTAAGCACCTTTAATTTTGTTCCCTCTAGGGTTTGAGGCTGCCAAAGGACCAGGCTCCTGTATTTGTGTTGAATGCTCTCTCATTTACTAAGGCCTCTCCACAGTTTCCCCTAATTTACAACAGTTTGATAAAACAACAAACTATTAGCTCTTCCATAATATATGCATTTTAAGCTCAATGCCATTTTAATACGCCAATCCATTCATCCAAGGAAGTAAAGATTGTGCCAGGTAGATGGACAGAAGATTCTAAGCAAGGCATCTTCAAAGGTGGTTGAGGTTGTGATAGGTTCCTTTCTCAAATGTACAAATGCTCCTATTAAATATACCCAGTTTTCTGTTGGTTAAGTAGTACAAATATCAGTACACACTGAAGACAAAAATGCCCAAGAGACTCTTTGAATCTCTCAATTTTGCTTAATTGTAACAAATCCATGCTTTTTGGGGGGAAGAGAGTCATTCTTCAATTCAGCTTAGATATTTAATCTATTCATGTGTTTACTACTTATATATGAGTAGAGTTAGAATTTTAGTGGTGTGTTTCCAAAAGGTGATTATTAGAACAGAGAAGCAAAGACTATACTAATGGAAGATGAATCGAAAGTCTACTGGGGTTAACATCCTCTGTTCTTAAGATCTGAGGTAACCTTTGACCAAAGGACTTTTGCTTCAGGAACTGAAATCTAGACTTCAGATGGCCAAAGAGTCAATGCACATGCTAACCTGAGGAGGAGACGTGTGTCTGAGTACACTTCCTTATGCTGAACTGTGCAGGTGGCAGATTTCACTGACTCAGGCTTCTCGGCCACAGGCAGATTGGTGTTAGCCAATCTAAGAAAGCCAAGTGTTCCTCAGTGTCAACAGACAAAATGTGGAGGAAGGTCAATAAATTCTCCTGGTGACCTTCCTTTGTACTCACCTCCTCCCAAAATGAGTGTTGCCAATTGCCACTGAAGGATGTACTTAAGACACTTGCCAATTCCCACTGGAGTCATGTTAAAGGAGCACATGGGATCCCCAGCTATTGTATCAGCTCCCAGCTGTAAGACCACTGCTTTGGGATTAAAGGCTTGGTATACCTCCTTTAGTACACTGTAGAAATGAGAAAGAATACAAAATATCAGAAAAAAATAGCTCAGTTTGGTAGGGGTGGTGCTGGGGCAAGGTGGAGGAATAGTTGAATCTGCAAACAGTTAATGAAGAAAAAAAACAACAAAAAACCCCACAATGTGTCAAACTTAATAAACTTTGATGAGGTGAATCAGACTGTATGTAAATGACACCTCAATAAACCTGACTTACAAAAATAAATTCCCCCTACCTCTGCCCTCATCAACGAACAAATTTGCCCTTCTGTTTTAGAACTCAGACTTCCTTAAAAATATTTGTATTAATTTAACTTCAACAGCCATAGGACAGAGTGCACATATTTTACTCCATTTTAAAATCTGGGAAAATAAGACATATACATTGAACAGTTATTAAGGATTCTTTCTGATAATTTAAGATCATGACCACACTTGGAGTTTATCACCTAGTTATCAGTGGGGGCTGGGGGTGGGAAGTACATGCTTTGAAAGCATAGATGTCATCAGCTTACTTTTGATTATGCAAAGGGACTTGAGGGTTATGAAATACAGTCCTCCCCAATGCATATGTAACCAGGGAATTATCTGGGAGGGAACTGTAACAACTGATCCAGAATTATAAATCTGAAAGCACCCGAAAAGAACAATTATAGTGAGTAACAATGAGCATAATTTTGAATAGAATCATTCAGTGCTATCAAATCAACCTAACTGCTTTTTTCAATAGTTAGAAGCCTTAGAGATGAAAAGGAAGATGTCATTGTGACAGACGACCTTAGTCAGGCCTCCAATATTATAATTAATTGAATACTGACAATGTCCAGAATGCATTCCTAGGAGTTACAAGGTCCCTGCTCTCAAGGGGCTTACAATCTACTTTCCAGACAAAACATAAAGCAGTCCTCAAGGGCCTGAGTAACTCTTACAGAGACATATAAACAAGTGCAAATTAACATACTTCAGAGTTGAGAAACTACAGAGTCAAAAAGTGATCAAAAATGTTGAGGTTAATGACCCCCTCATAATCAACATGTCAAATTATACCAGTGCAACAAAACCAGAAAAATCCCAGATCCTTCTGAAACTGCAAAAGGAATTCAGAGATATAAAATACCATCCTCCCAAATTCGTATATAACCAGGGTACTGAAACTATTAAACAGTGTTCAGTCACAGAGGTGTTCTTTGACTCAAAGGACTGTTTTGTTTGGATTTCTCATCTATACAAATATTGAGTCATTATAGAGATTATAAGAATATTATAAAAATTATGACATGTGATCCTTAATACAAGGATACTTGGGCCTATTCTCTCTTTCATGTGCTTATCTCCTGGGTGCAGAGGGAAGATAAACCACCTGAATAGTTTTTTTTTTTTAAAGATTACCGGTAAGGTGATCTCAACCCTTGGCTTGGTGTTGTCAGCACCATGCTCAGCCAGTGAGCTAACCAGCCATCCCTATACAGGATCCGAACCCGTGGCCTTGGTGTTATCAGCACCACACTCTCCCGAGTGAGCCGCGGGCCGGCCCTCCACCTGAATACTTTAGACGACATTTATTGAGCATCTACACATACAGAGAACCCTATTAGCTGCTGCTGGGAGACAGAGGAAGGTGTGATGTAAGTTCTAAAAAGGTTTCTAGCTTTAGGGGGAGGTGGGGGAGGCCAGCAAGACTAACGTTCTTTTCATTCATTCTTTCCCTCACTTAGTACACACTGACTTAGTGTCCACTGTGTGCCCAGCATGTAACTGTACCAGATGCTGCAGGAATAAAGATGGATATGGTATAGCCCCTATCTTCCTGTAGCACAGAATAGAGGGGAAGACATGGCCTTTGCCAATAAATAATTAAAATACAAAGATAAATGAAGTATCAGAGATGGCACAGAGGAGAGAGTAATCAACTCTTTCAGAGGAAATCAGAAAAGTCTCTACAGAGATAACTCTTGATTTAGGTCCTAGAAGATGACAAGAACTACAATGAGCCAACTCTCAAGATGGCTAAAATGAAAAACAGTAATAGCAACAATTCCTGGTGAGGATGTGGAGAAACCCGATCATACATATCTTGCTGGTGGGAATGTAAAATGGTATAGACACTCTGGAAAATACTTCAGCAGTTCCTTTCAAAACTAAAAATAGACTTACATATGACCCAGCAATTGTACTCTTGGGCAATTTAGTCCAGAGGAATTAAGATTTATTTTAATGTAGGAACTTATTTTCATGTACATAGATGTTTTTAGCAGCTTTATTTGTAATAGCCAAAAACTGGAAACAACCCAGATGTAGTTCAACAGCTAAATGGTTAAACAAACTGGTACATCCATAGCATTGTAATATTGCTCATCAATAAAAAGAAACAAACTATTGATACATACAAAAAATTTGGATGGACCTCAAGGGAGTTATGCTGGGTGAATAAGGCCAGTCTCAAAAGAATATATACTGCATGATTCTATATATATAACATTGTGAAATATTAACTACAGAGATGAACAGATTAGTGGTTGCCAGGGGTTTAGAGATGGGTGTGACTATAAAGGGATAGCATGAGGGAGCCTTGTGGTGATGTATCTTGACTGTGGTTGTGTTTATACATGGCTACGTGTGTGACAAAGCTGCATAGACCCCCCCATACATGAGAGCGTGTATAACTGGTGAAATCTGAATAAGCTCTATGGATGCAGCACTATAATTGTGCAAGATGTCAACATTGGAGGAGGCTGGAGGAAGGGTACATGGTACTTCCCTATACATTTTTTAGCAACCTCCTTTAAATCTGTGATTATTTTGCAACACAACGTTTTTTAAAAAAGGCATAAGAGAAGTTTATAGGCATTTGGGGTGAAGGTAGGGGAATTGGAGGCAGGGATGGTTGTGGGGGTTACTGGTAGGGGACTAGGTTCAGAGAAGGAAGCACACGTGCAGGAAGGCTTGAAATGGGGAGTGGTGGCATGAGACTATAGAAGTAAACGTGGGCTGCATATGCCAGGCAGGCTAATGAGTTTGGACTTTTGCTTAAAGGGTATTATGAAATGTCTCAAACATTACGTAAGTGTGTGTGTGTGTGTTTGTGTGTGTGTGTGTGTGTGTGTGTGTGTGTGCCTGCTGAGGGCATGATTAAATTTCCATTTTAAAGATACTTGAGCTCTAGTGTAGGAAACACCGAAGGTTAATCAGGGCTTTTGCAACCATCCAAACCAGTGACAGCAAGGATGGGAAGGAAGAGATAGATCTGGGAGATACTTCCATGGTAGAATTGACAGGGTAGTGCAGAGTGATACAGAAGAGAAACATATACATATAACCATATAGCCATCATGAGTGTTTGGTAATTAGGAGAGAGGAAAGGATAAAGGAAGGCAGGTGTTTCTGGAATAGTTGTTTTAATTATAGCCAGGTAGGGAAAACGAATCCTCAAGGCCTTCTGATGAAGAGGGCTCCCGATGGGTAGACAAAAGGGTAATTAGAAGCTTTGAAAAAGGTAGGGTATTTTGTACATAGTGTAAGCTTCAAAGCAACTGGAAGTGAGGACAGGTTACAGAGGCTAAATGGTGGACACTCATAAATTCAAGACTGGAAGTTTCATTTGATTTGACAGCCAGATGGGAGCCACTGGAGAAGTATGAGATAAGTACTGATGTTGCTGAAAAATTTTGGTTAGAAATTTTGATTTTTGCTGTTGTGTATAAGGCCAAAGTAAGGAAGTCCGGAGGCAGAAGGGTCAGCAAAAAGGATATTGAAGCATTCTAGGCATGAGTGCACAGGAAGAAAGGTAAGGTAAATTTGGAAAAAATTGAGAGGGCTAGGGACAGAATAGGGGTGGAAAGTCATAGGAGGAAACACACTGTGCCCATTCCTCCAGAATTCCCAGGAGGGGAAAAGAGAAATTGGAATATTCCTTTTCCTATTGTCACTTCCAAATCCAGTATTCTTCCCCTCTCATCAATCCCTCCTCTTTTGAAGTCAATGTCATTTGCTTATACTATTCAAATACTGATAAAGTTCTCATTTGTAGGCCTACAATGTATTCTCTCACCTCCCTTTAGAATTTTAGCACCTGGCTCACATTTTTTCTCTCTCTCTCTCCTTGTCATCATTCTCTGCAGTTCAATATTCATTTACTCACTCAAACCTTGATTCCAGCACCTACTATTTATTCTCTATGCTGGGCACTAGAGATACAGAAATAAGCAAGACCCAGAGAACTTATGGTCCAGTAGGAGAAGATGGGAAAACAAATAACTATGATAAGTTCAACAAATAACTATGATAAGTTCCATAATATTCATCCATCCATCCATCCATTCAATAAATGTTAATTGAATGCCTACTATATACCAGGTGTTAGGTTGGGCAGTGGGTTTACTTTACTGAACAAAAGAAATCTGCTCGTTCCCCATGACTGTTCTAATTCTCTGACATGAAAGTTTCTTCACCTTTTCAACAATAGTGATGTTCGCCTTCACTGCACATTAGTTGTTATTAGTGTAGCATGGCTACACTTCAGGGCCTGATAAGAAAACACTTGGAATTGTGCTAATTCTAAGACCCTGAACTCTGAACTAGTTTTTCCAAGTACAATTTTCTATCTTTCCATGTCTCCTGTTGCACTTGCTCTTTATTCTCATTATAACTCCTATGTGCTAGTCTTTTTCCTATTTTCAAAGTCCACCAGCCTACTTTTTCACCTCACTTGCTTCACTACTCATTTTGGAGAATATGGTTAGCAATTTAGAAAACCCTTACTAGTACACTTAATTCCTTCACACCTTTGTCATTTTTGCCTTGTCAAACCTCAAGACCATGGATAAACCACATTGTCAGAATTTTCTGCTCTGCTCTGCTGGAGAAAGCTGAGAAATCAAACTAATTGCTTCCACTACAGTTTATGCTTACAGCTCCAATTCAACAAATTCCATAAACATTTACTGAGCGATTAATATGGGCCACTCCCTCTCTACAGCTTGGCAATCCTTCACTTTACCTCCAATTGAC